TATATGAAATATATGTATGAAATATATGAAATATATGTATGAAATATATATATGAAATATATGAAATATATATGCATATATATATGAAATACTTAGAACATAGTGTTTATAGTCAGCAGTTATCACTTTTATAGTAATCCTGTTAAGAAGTGAGGGTGGTCTGAACTCAAACAGTGGCAGTGAGGGTAATGGACAGAAGTGGCCAGATTCAGAAGCTACAAAGACAATAGGAATTAATAGGTATTAGTGATTGATTGGATACCAGTAGGGTAGATAAAAGAGAACAAGAAGCTGCGGATGAAATGCAGGCTCTGGATCTGATCAGTTGAGTGGATGGTGCTTCCAGTTTCCAAAGTAGGGAAGACAGTAATTGAAATGGGTTTGTGATGTGAAGTAAACGTAAGTTCAGTTTGGGGTGTCTTAAACTTAGATTGATATAAGTAGAAATTTAGTGCCAGATTGATATAAGTAGATATAATAAGAATGATATAAGTAGAAATTTAGGAAGCAACCAACTGTAAGGTTTGGAGATCAGAAGTGTGATGTGGGCTGAGGAAATGGGTTGCAGGAATGGTCAGTGTAAATCGGGTCGTGATGCTTGGAAAAGAATGACCTAACCCAGAATAAAGGTGGAATGATAGGTAGACTTCTAACTATTTTTCTCAACAGTTTTATTTTATTTTTGAGAGACAGAGACAGAGTGAACTGGAGAGGGGCAGAGAGAGAGGGAGACACAGAATCCAAGGCAGGCTCCAGGTTCTGAGCTGTCAGCACAGGGCCCGATGCGGGGCTCGAATCCATGAACCGTGAGATCATGGCCTGAGTCAAAGTCGGTTGCTTAACTGACTGAGCCACCCAGGTGCCCCTGGAATGATAGGTACACGTCTAAGAGAGCTAGAAAGGACACCAAGAGTGGAATATAAGAGAACCCTTAAAGAAAAGATCAACTTTTGGAGGAAGATAAGCATGACATTGAAATCCGTTAAATATTCTCTTGTTGGGGTGGGCGAATTTGAGAAATATTTAAATTTGTAAGTTTTGCGTTAGCATAGGCCAGCTTAAACCATAGTATGCATTTATTCACATACTATGATTTTAGGTACTATTGTGTGCTATACTCTTCCAATATGCCCTTTTCCCTTTATGGAACTTTAGGCAACATGCAGAGTGGATGCTATGGTTATGGATGTTGACATCCAATGACCTGTCCAATCTACTTTTCTGTATTTATTGGCATTTCCTTCTCCTCATTTTTTACCTTTCCAGTTAATGACTCACTAGAGTCTTGATGTGAAAAGTTGGGGCTGGGGAGACTGTCTTTCTTCTGTATGTGCTATACTTCGTTCAACATCAACAGTTTGGGTCCAGTATCTTAGGGTTTTGTAATGATTTTTCTATTTGAATTTCCTTACAACGCTGCCACAACACTTCTCTTCTGGAAAGAGCCAGGAGATGAATTGGAGACATGGAACACTTTTTCCATCATCAGAATCAGTAGGGCTCACAGGTTAGGCTCCAGCTAAGTCCTTGCTCCTGAGGTGTGTGAAGATTAGAAGGCTGATCCAGAAGCCTTATCTACCTACACATGCCTGAAGAAAGGTATCACATTTCTGTAATCAGGCTGAGTGTGAATTTTATAATTAGTTTTGTGTTACAGGAGGAACATTCTGGAAAAGCTTTGAAATGGGCCCAAAAGATTACTAGGTGTACTATCTGGCTCAGCTTCTAGGTTATCTTGCCCTTTCAGTATCTTTGGGCTGTTTTACAGTGCTAGAAATGATGGAAAACTGATGGTAATGCAAAAGATTCTTGTCCCCTGAAATTGAAATTGTGTACCGTGGAGTACAATTGGTTATTGCCTTGTAGATATTAACCGATGTTACCAGTTTTGTGTCTATGTGTAAATTCTTTGCAGTATTCTTGATTTTTTTTTTAATTTTTTTTTAATATTTATTTTTGAGACAGAGACAGAGCATGAACAGGGGAGGGGCAGAGAGAGAGGGAGACACAGAATCTGAAACGGGCTCCAGGCTCTGAGCTGTCAGCACAGAGCCCGACGCGGGGCTCGAACTCACGGACCATGAGATCATGACCTGAGCCGAAGTCGGATGCTTAACCGACTGAGCCACCCAGGCGCCCTATTCTTGATATTTAGATATTTGTTCTTTGGATTCACCTTTGAACCACTTGTAACATCGTACAGGTTTCCTTTTTAATTAATGAGCCAATTAAAATCTACGTCCCATGTTAAAATGTTGTGTTACATATACATATGTACGTTTATACATGCATATAACCTCTCTAGAAAGATTCACTGAGTGCTAGCTATGGTTGCCTCTATAGAAGGGGGGTCAGGAAAACTTGTTTTTCACTATATGCCCTTTTGGATCCTTTGAATTTTCTATCGTGTGCTTACATTACCTAAACAAAGACATTTTTTTAATTCCTTTTTGACACCCCTCAAATCAATCGTTAGCCCTTATTACCAACTCTTGAACTAAGTTCACATTTGAATTAACTGGCTTTCTTTCCTTCTTTCTTTCTTTTCTTGGTTTATTTTTGAAAGAGAGAGAGAGCACATGAACAGGGGAGGTGCAGAGAGAGAGGGGGACGGAGGATCCAAACTCGGCTCCACGTTGAGAGCAGAGACCCCGATGCGGGGCTGGAACCCATGAAGTCCGAGATCATGACCTGAGCCAAAACCAAGAGTCGGACACTTAACTGACTGAACCACCCGGGCAACCCAGATTAACTGGCTTTCTGAAGAGATCTTTGTTTCTAAAACTGCCAGCAGATAGCATCCTATGCCGCAACATCATACCTGGCACCTTCTGTACTCTTTAAAGTCTTTAACTTAACTCTTCAAGGTAGCTCTACCACTGTCGACACATCTTGGTCCGATGGCACTAACTCGATTATGAATCTGTGAAGGAATCAGATAATTGTAGTGTGCAGTGAAACGGCCGACCTGCCAGCCTATTTTGCAGTTCTAAGTTCACCTTGCCTCCCCAGCTGTGCATACTCAATAATCCTCTTGTCTAATTATAGCTAGCAGCTCTTCCTTTAAGGTAGAGGTTCTCAAGCTTGGAGGCATAGTAAAATCACTTGGGGAGCTTTTAAAACTCTGAATGCCCAGACCAATTAAATCACAAAGCCTGAGGGGGGTGGGACACAGACCTCAGGATTGTCTAAAGCCACTGAGGTGATGCTAATGTTGAGAAACACTGCTCTGTGCAAAGAACGGTAGTGATTTAGCAAAAACTTCACATAAAAAAGCTCAGAAGCAGAAGCACTCAGGATTTCTGACGGAAAGCTTGGCATTGGTGTTGAGGAAGGTCCACACAGAAAAGCGAGGCAGCCCTTGAGGAATATCTTGATGTGCAAAAGCTGTTTTGACTTGGGCTGCCTCTGGAATGGGGCAAACTAGGTATTGGGTGTGGTCTAAAAGCCTGAACTGACTTGCTTAGTCATTAGCGTTTTTGTTCATTTTTTTATAGTTCTGAATTCAGTTACACTCTACACTCTCAGTAGAAAATACTGACTGTTGACTGCATATCCCTGCCTTTCTCTCTGTCATTAGAGGCACGAAGCCAGCCTAGTGATGGGTGACATGTCACCCATCTAATACCACTGCCACCATATGGCTGTATTACTGACAAATAGTTCTATTTATCATATACCAGACATCTGGGAAAACCACATATTGTACATGACCTATTAAATGTCCTTTTTTTGTCAAAGTTCCTAGAATCCCATTGCTTTAATCCATAACTATGTGCTTTATTAAGAAGTCTTTGATAGAAAGTTTGTTTTAGAAGGGGAGAAGTAAAAAAAAAAAATGCATCCATTCATTTATTTTGGAATGGTAAGGCAAAGAAAGAGTCTTTCTTGGGATGTCCTCCCCCCACCAAAAGATATCTTTTAATGGGAAGTCCTGATCAAGAGCCTACTTCTGTTTAACATTTTAAATCATTTTATTGTTGCCTCAACCTTTTATGAACATGAAAATTCGTATCATAAACTCTGCTGTGGTTTGCCTTCATGTACTCATTGTATATCCCCCTCCCTTTTGTATAGGAAGACAGAGATGTCAATAACCCCATGCCTAACCGAGGAGGCAATGGATTAGCTCCTGGGGATGACAGATTCAAACCTGTGGTACCATGGCCTCATGTTGAAGGAGTAGAAGTGGACTTAGAGTCTATTAGAAGAAAAAACAAGGCGAGAAATGAACAAGAGCGCCATGCTGGAGGAGATAACCAGAAAGACGTAATACAGAGGCAGTATCTCACATTTAAGCCTCAGACATTCACCTACCGAGATCCTGTGCTACGTCCAGGGATCCTCGGTAACTTTGAACCCAAAGAACCTGAGCCTCATGGAGTGGTTGGTGGCCCTGGAGAGAAAGCCAAGCCATTGGTTTTGGGACCAGAATTCAAACATGCAGTTCAAGCCAGCATTAAAGAGTTTGGATTTAACATGGTGGCAAGTGACATGATCTCACTGGACCGCAGCGTCAATGACTTACGACAAGAAGAGTAAGCACACATCCTCTTCTTTCTAAAACTGGGGCAACTATTGTTTTGATAGATATTTAGTTAGGTTGTTAGGATGGAGAAAATAGTTTTGCCTTTGTTTCAAGGAGGTAAAAGGCTCTTCGGTCCGCAAAATGGCCAGAAGGAGGAGATCACTTCATTTATGCCATTAGATTGAAGGTATGACATATAAAATTCTGGGGGTTTTACATCAGTGCTACGCAAATGTCGCTGGACTGGCACCGGTCTGTGAATTTTTTGTTACCAATCCACAATGGGAACGTGAACTTGTACCAAAGTGTAAACCAACTGTTAAATACTTTGTTTAGTACAAGTGACAATTTTTTAATGACAAAACTTTCTTGATGTGTTGATTTTCATTCTGGATCAAGCTCCTTGTCTTGTTGTGGAATAGTAACAAATAGTAACGCTGCTTTAGATGTCTTACATAATTAACTAGATACTGATGTTTCCCTTAATTCTTTTTCTCAGTACTGCAACTGGAAATTGAAACTCTTGAGCATATGCAAAAGGAGCGCCCAAACAGATAAACTTTCACATTATTTTCATGTAGTTTGATTTAAAATACAGGATTTCCAGCTCTTAACTTGTGATAGACAGTGGTTATGGGATGAACTCAAAGCTTTTTCTGAATCCGTTCTACTCATGCAGGATCTAAGTAGCCTCCATTAACATAGATGCAAATTTAATTCCATGCTACCAGAAAACTCTCAAAATGTATTCTGCTGTGTTGTTCATATATCTTTATCTTAAGAGGTTGACACCTTTATGCACACACGTGCAGATCCCACAACAGCATTCTTTTGTCACTGTCACTGAAAAGATTCTATACCTAATGTAGTCCTACTTAGTAGACTTTGGACATTCATATATTTATTGTAAGAGTGAGATGGGGCGAATGAAACGTGCAAAGAAAGTTGAAGGAATAGAAGTATAGAACCATGGTGGCGAGATACCTAACCTCTTTTCCAGAGAAGAGCTGGAACATCTCAAGGGACTGTGAAGGAAGAATCATCCTGGTTCAATTTATTCCAAATCAAAGTAGAGGCTTGCCTAGTCATAAGGTTGCCAGATTTAGCAAATAAAAATAGAGGGACACCCGTTAAATTTGAATTTTAGATGAACAATGAAAAACATTCAGTCTAAATATATCCCAAACAGTGTATGGGACATACTTATACTTTGATGTTTATCTGAAGCCTGAATTTAACTGGGTGTCTTGTACCTCCCCAGTCAGGGGCTAAGGGTGGCTGTTAACAGAGTTGGAACTGCCACGCCAGTATTCTTTAGGACCCAGAAGAGGCTCTGCAGTCCCTTATCTGGAGTGTGTCCCAGTTAACTAAAATATAGCACTTAATCATACTGTTGATCTGTGTTGTAGAGGGTTCTCTGAAAACCTATTGATGGCATTCTCATCACTGAGAAGGGAAGGGAAGGGGGTGGGCAGCGAGTAACATTTATTGACTTTCTACTCCCTGCCAGGACTTACTGTAGTTTCTCTTAATTCGCACAACCAAACTGTGAGAGAGTTCTTACCTGTGTAAGTAAAGTCTGAAGCTTGGAGCTCTGACTTCTTTGTATTTGCCCCGTGGTTCAGCGCAAGGTGGTTTGGTGTGAAAGCCCTATCTTTCCACCACACCTCACCTCACCTCACCTCACCGTATGTCTTTTCACAGGTGATATGCTTCAGTGCGTTGTTACAGTCAGTGGGTGAGCTAAGTGTAGAAACAGATTTTTAGCACGTGAACTATTTATAAAAGATTGTTAAAAACACCAATATAAATCTAGCTCGTTTTTCCATATGAGAAATATGCTAAGAAAATCAAATGTCCTATGATGCAGAAGCACACAGGATTAGCGTCCGCCTCTGTGTCTCCCTGTCCTTCACCCCTCACATCCGTTCTAATCTGCAAGGCTTCTAGCTCCTGTCACCAAAATATGTCTCAGATTATTTCTAGGTGCATTCACCCAAGTCCTCCACCCAAGTCCAAGCCACCATCGTCTCCCTTGGAATCCTGTAGGAGTCTCCTTCATGGTTTCTCCTCCTCCATATTCACACAGAAGCCAGTGTGGTATTTTGAACCACACAGATCTAGCTTATCTACAACAATGCTTTGCCTTCCCAGTGCACTTAAATATAACCCCGACTTCTAACCAGCAGCCTCAACCCTTCCCTGCCTTGACGACCTCCTCTTGTTACTGTGCCGCCTGGCCCAGCATGCTCTAGCCAGGCTGACCTTTTCCGGTCTCTTTGATGTGTTCTTCCCTCCTCTTTGAATGCTTTCCCCCTTCTTGTGGCTGGCTCCTTGCCATCGTTTAGGTCTCAGTGGAACCTCTCCAACCATGCTGCCTAGTTGATAATGCCATGCCTTATTTTCTAATACCACTCTGTGGCCATTTCATTCATAGTATTTGTCTTATTTTATAATTGATCAAATTTATATAGCTCCTGATTTATTTAGTTGTTTATTGACTGTCTTTCTTACTACATGATAAGGTAGTAAGGAATGTATCTCTTTTCTTCACCAGTTGCTTCCAGTAACTGACACCCAGTTAGTAAATATCTGTTGAGACCATGAATGAGTGAATGAATGAATGGAATATGCTGGGTTCAATCCTTGGCTCCATTACCAGATGTGAGATCTTAGATCAGTTACTTACCCTCTCTAACCCTCAGTTACCTAATCCTTAAAATGGGTCTAACAACACCTGTCTCCCAGGATTGGCACTAGAGTTAAATGATGTAATAGGTTAAAAGTGTTTTATCACAGGCCTGGTGTTAGAAACTTAAGTGTTCTTGACTTTATTATTATTTTTGTATTGCGGTGGTACTTTCTTCAGATCACATATCTTCATGTGAAAATTTTAATGTTTTCAGTTACTATTAACTTTGAGGTCCTCTGTTGCTTTTTGGAAATTGTAAATGTCACACGCGGCCTTATCTTCATCTCACTTCTACTTGTACCTTCCATGATGGCAAAGCCTTCACCTCTCCTTTGATAAATGTTATAGACACAGCAATTGCCACTCAAACCTCTCATCTCTCTGGGTCCTCCTTGCTCTCCTATAATGTCCCTTCCTTCCTTCCTTCCTTCCTTCCTTCCTTCCTTCCTTCCTTCCTTCCTTCCTTCCTTCCTTCCTTCCTTCCTTCCTTCCTTCCTCTCTCTCTCTCTCCCCCCTCCCTCCACCCATCCTTTCTTTCTTGCTCTCCTCATTGCATCTGTCCTTCCTTCTTTACTTTCCTCTCCCTCCCTTCTTTCATGTCATAGGCTGATTGTTTTCCATGTTCTTTTCTCTTGCAGAAGTGCTTAGAAATAGGATATTGCATGTTTCTGTGTATCATTCTTGTAAGGGTTGTGTCCCCAGTCAAGCCAAAGGACCCAAGGCTATCTCATCAAATGCTCCTAAGCCCCTCTTAAATATTTCTATGTTAGTGAGAAAACTTTTTTTTTATGCTTCAAAATACTCAAAACATTATAACCCCTGGAAACTTTTTTTTTAACTGAGTCCAGATTGTTTTTTAAACTTGAGTTAAAAAAGAGAGATAGGCTTCGTTCCTCTTTGAACACTGAAAATTCAGTGTAGAATAATAATTTCTAAGAGTTATTCATAAATTAGGATGTAAATAGTCTTAAGAATTTATAAACAGACTGACAACAAATAAAACATCCCTAAATTTGGCATCTTATCCAATTTGCATATTAGCACTTTTCTTCTTTTACTGGAAACACACTGAAAACGTAGCGTGCATCCATATCACACAGACACAGGGTCCCTCACGCTCATCCCTCACAGAAAATACGCTACACAGAGCCCACCAGAGACTGGCTTGGTGTTGCTGACTTTCTGCAGCTTTGGCAGATAGACCTTATCAGCCTTGTTTTCTTGCTTCCATCAGACGTTTAAATGAGCCACCTGCCAAACTTAGAAACCAAGCTTTGGGGCTGTTTGTCCAGCTGTGACATCTGACCCTGTGGTTAACTTGTTCATTCTTGTGGCTGCTCCACAGGCTTTTCAGATGAATGTTCTCTACCTTAGAAGCAGGACAGAACTGCCCAGCTGCCAACATGACTCATACTTATGTATGTTACAGCTTTGAATTACATGCACTGGCTGAGTAATTTACTGGCTGTTGATTGCTCGTTAAAAGAGTGAGTAATTGTATTTTGAGTGAACTGGAGGCCTGCTTCTTTTTTAGAGACTTGATCCAAGGATGACTTCACCTGCCTTCACACGTATTTTCTATAAAAAACACATTCCGTTTTCTTCACAGTTCAACAGATATTGAGTATCTCCAGTAAGCAACACACTGTGCTAACCCATCAGGAGACGCAGTAAAGACAAAATACAGTCCCTGCCTTCAGGGGGCTCCCCATCCGCCCCTGGGGAGAAGGGCAAGAAATACATAGCATAAGGGTCGTAGGAGAGGGCTGAGCAAAATGATATGGTTCAGAGGAGTGAGGGGCATGTCAAGTTACAGGAGAGTCAGAAAAAGTTTGATGGGGCGGACACCAAGGACAAAGCCTGGAGGATGCGTAGGGTTTCCCCAGGAAGAGTTATAAGTTCAGAAGACGTAAAGGTAGGCATTGACTAGGAAGAAAGAAGATCACAGTGCCATTCACAAAGTCTATACCGACTGGTGGTCAGGAAAGACCCACTGAAGGTTACAAAGAGAACTTTAGGAATATCAGACTGGTAAAGGTGTCAAGAGTAGATTGGGAGTGGAGACCCGTTGGTGGGTTAGTAGCATCAGAGCCGGAACTTCAGCGAAGATTACAGAACCAGAAGAAGGAGACTTGAGGTAAGAGAATAGAAGAGTTAGAATCAGTGGGCCTTGGCAGCTTGACGGAGTGGAAGGAGGAATCAAAGATAAATCCAAGGGCAGTAACACAGAGGATGGCACTATTCACTGCTCTGCCCAGAGCTCAGTTATCTAAACCACTTTTCCCCTCCAGCTTGCTTGCTTGCTTGCTTGCTTTATA